ATCTTATATATATATATATATATATATATATATATAAATAAGGTTATACTTATTGTAAGTGATGGAAAAATGTAACGAAACATAACTTCCAAATAATGTGAATTAATGTTCACTTAATCCAAATCTTATCGTATGCAAAGTTTTCCATTTTCCCGCTCTTTTATATGATTCAATCTTGATATAACGCACGTGGTCGTTGGGTCACTCAAAAAACTTTTTTGTTTATTTACCTAAAAATAATGGAACAAACTAACTGCCTAGTTTGCTTTGTATGCTTGAACCTAGTGTTGCATGATTGATAATGTGAACCATGATTGATTACTGTAACAAATATCAACGTGATGATTTTTTCTGCATAATGCACTGTTTTGACAATTTAGGATTAACGGGAAGTTAATTATTTTAATATGTCATGCGCAGAAGTATGAGTAGACAGGAATGGAGAAGATTCAAGTAAAGATAGGCTCTGGCCGTGTTTAATGTACATCTCATATCCAACAAATATGAATGAATTATGTAAATGACGTCACAAGGCAATGACAAATATGTTTCCTCCAGCTCAGGAGACTTCTTTTATACTGAGTGAATTGTATATCCTGTCAATAAAGATATTATGATGCCATTTATGGAATTTGGCCTCATGCTTTTTACGGCAAGTATTGGAATGATAATTAGGAGTGCTGGATAAGCAAACGCAAGGAAAAGAAGCACAACAGACACTACTTATAATACTACAACATCAACGTCACAATTAACAGTTGTTACAATTACAATGTGAACCATAATTACTAACAATGTGAACCATGATTGATTACAATGTGAAGCATGACTGATGAAAATGTGAGACATGATTGATTACAATGTGAACCATGGTTGATTACAATGTGTACTATGATTGTTCGCACTGTGATCCATAATTGATTACAATGTGATCCGTGACTGATCAAAATCAAGGTTCAATGAGAATATTCAAGGGAATTTCAGATTAGACGAGGCCTGAGACAGGGAGACTCACTGTCTTGCATATATATGCTATTTAACGTAACATTAGAGAGAGTTATGAGAAACATACTCATTGACACTCGAGGAACAATAACAGGATACTTTCTGAGGGAAACTCAAGACCCACAACCAACGGGCACGCTCTACAACCAACCACTTCAGTATCTTGCCTATGCTGATGGCATAGCACTGCTTGGCAAAAGTATATTAAAGACATATCAAAATCCTTTATTGAATTAGAAAACGCATCACTACAAGCAGGGCTGGAAGTTAACAACCAAAAAAAAAAAAAAAATACATGACCATGATAACAGAAGAACAAACAGATTAAGCAATTAAAATTAGAAACCAGACTTTGGAAAACGTAAATCAATTCAAATACCCTGTACCTAGAAATGAATTACTTACAGAAATGAAAGAAATGAATTACTTACAGAAATGAAAGAAATGAATTACTTACAGAAATGAAAGAAATGAATTACTTACAGAAATGAAAGAAATGAATTACTTACAGAAATGAAAGAAATGAATTACTTACAGAAATGAAAGAAATGAATTACTTACAGAAATGAAAGAAATGAATTACTTACAGAAATGAAAGAAATGAATTACTTACAGAAATGAAAGAAATGAATTACTTACAGAAATGAAAGAAATGAATTACTTACAGAAATGAAAGAAATGAATTACTTACAGAAATGAAAGAAATGAATTACTTACAGAAATGAAAGAAATGAATTACTTACAGAAATGAAAGAAATGAATTACTTACAGAAATGAAAGAAATGAATTACTTACAGAAATGAAAGGAAAAAAAAATCAGCCGGGAACAGGGAATACTTCAGTAGTCCGAAAATACTCAAAAGTAAAAACATTTCAAGAGAAACAAAGAAAACTATTTATAAAACTGTAATCGGACCAGTTGTAACATATGCAAGTGAAACTTGGACCATAACAAAAGTGGCAGAAAATCTAATAAAAACATGGTGAGGAAAGTTCTCAGAAAAATATATGGACCAACAAAGGATAAATATGGTTGGGGAATACGAGCCAACCATGAATTGTACAGTCTATATCAGGATCCCACGATAGTAGCAGAAATAAAAAGAGCAGGTTACGCTGGGCAGGACACTTATATAGATTGCCAAATGACATAAGTGTGAAGAGGGGGCATCCCCAATACCCCAGAAGAAAAAGGCACAAAGACAGACCTAGGCTTAGATGGATGGATTGTGTGGAAAACGATCTACAACAACTGAAAATCCAAGCAGTTAGCCTTAGTTAGGTCTGAGTGGAGGGAAGTAGTGAGGTAGGCCAAAGTCCTAAGTGGGCTGTAGCGCCACATGGATGGATTGATCAATGAATGATAACAATGTCATCCATGATTGATTACAATGTGAACCATGATTGATTACAAGTGAACCATGGTTGATTAAAATGTAAATCATGATTGATTGAACCATGATTGATTGAGCCATGATTGATTGCGCCATGATTCTCTCTTCATTTCCTATCAGGTTCTGGCCGGTGTATTGTACAGGTTTACAATCAGATTTAATGGCGGACTCGAGGTAAGTAAAGTATGAGACCCGATGTGTGTGTGTGTGGGGGGGGCGCGAGGGGCGTGGGGGGTCCGCGGCAGGGCTCCTCAAGAAAATGCCACCAGGGGCGAACTGTCGAAATGGCGATCCACCCCTTTTGTATATCATCGCAATATTCAGTGTCATTTGTATGGCATTGTTGCTAAGAAGTACTATAATTGTCAAAATATATATTTTGAAAAAAAAAACAGTTCACATATTT